AAGCAGGGGGGGCGCCACACACACACACACACACACAGAGAGACACACACACCCTCCGGCCCCCAGGGGGGGGGGGGGGGTGGGGGGGCTGCTGACCTTGTGGAGCTTCCACATGGCGCCCAGCGCCTTGACCTCGTGGCTGGCGTGCTTGCCCTCCTCCAGGCACTGGTAGCAGACGGGCATCTTGCACTGGACGCAGTACATGCTGTGGTTCTCCAGCTCGTGGTCGGTGCAGGTGGAGATCTTGCGCGGGCTGAGGCGGCGGCTGACCCGGCCCTGGGCCGGGGGCAGCAGGCGGTGCTTGGCCAGCGGGCCCCGCGGAGGGTGGCAGCGCAGGCGGCACGGGTCGCAGTAGAAGACGTCGCACTGCTCGCACATGACGGTGGCCTCCTTGGGCGCCTTCTCGCACAGCTGGCAGCGCAGGGCGGCCGCCTTGCTCTGCTGGTAGCGGTCGATCACCCCTTCCAGCACCCGGTTCCTGGGGAAGCCGCGCAGGCCCCGCTCGTCCAGGATCAGGCTGCGGTGGCACTGCGGGATGCTGAATGACGTCATATCCCTCCCAAAAATTTTGCATCTTGGAGGTACTCCTAGATTGGGCCTTGAGCCTAGACATCCACATTTCAGTGGTGTGGAGGAGTACATATGCACTGTTAAATCCAGGAGGATGTGTGTTTCCCTCAGTCCCCATGAGTTCTCCAACGATGACAGGGATGGCTCAGAGCCTGTAGGAGCTTTGTGACTGAAGGCAGAAATGTTACATTTTCAAAAACCGGGGCCAAGTGGTGGCCCGTTCCGCCGGCCGCGGGGGGCACGGCCGGAGGGAAGACGCGCACGCCGTTGGGCGACTTCTGGCACGGGGTGGTGGGCGCGCTGGCGAAGCCGCCGTACGAGCCGTAGCCGCTGTCCGCCTCGCTGTAGAGGCTCATCTTGTCCAGGTCCAGGTAGTCGTAGTCGGAGGCCGTGCTGGCCGAGGCGCGGCGGCTCTGCGGCGAGTCGGCCTCGGGCGTCTGGACCAGGATGTTGCGGGCGCAGGCCTGGCACAGGTTGTGCGAGCAGGGCAGGATCAGCGGCTCCCGGTAGAAGGAGCCGCACACCGGGCACTTCAGCTCCTCCTCCATCTCTTCCATCGGGAGGGCGGCCGGGCGCCCAGGCAGCGGGAGCGGCAGCGCCTTCAGCACCACGGACAGCGGCGCCACCAGCACCACCGCCGCCGGTGGCCGCAGCAGCAGCA